GAAAAGTTCACTGCGTTCCAGAATCCTAGCCCCTTTGAACTCTTCTTTTTGTTTCTCTTTGATTTTAGAATTGCCGTTCCAAAGAAAAATTAGGAAGGCTGCTTTACTAAACTTCAAAGCAAACATTTTGGTCTTCTAAAGTGGGCTTTAAATTATGGACTTTCTTTCAATTGTAAATCAGACCTCAATCCTCAAAAATCAACCCATGTAATCCTCAAATCCTTCCATTAGAATTCTCATTGAAAAAAAATAATATTTTAACACAAAATATAACTCAAACCTCTTAATTAGGCAAATAATAAGTATAGAATTGTGACAAAAATTAATCACAAATTCTAATTTATCAGTTCCTCAGCTATCCATGTCCAACAAAATTTAAGAAAGTGTAACATCATACTCTGCTAGCGTTAATTCTGTCATGCAAGGGAACATTTAACCAGAATTCCTACAGATTTTGCAAAAAATGGAATAAGAGCTTATTAAAATAGTAAGGTGTCCATCATAATTGATGGAAGCATATCTATAGACAGTTTCAAATAAATATGAATTGAATTATGTCTGGAAATACATTTCAGATAAAGAAGGGGGTGCAATACATGTTACAGAGTAATAAACTTGCTGCTGGTTTAAACCGAAGGACAAAATATAAAGTAACCATAAATTCCAAGCTTTTCTGAATTTTGATTGGAGAAAAAAAAAACTAATCAAAGTTAATAAAAGTTGAACTACAAATCAAAAGATGAGCTCAATTGACCTGTTTCTATGAATAATCATCTCTACCTGCTTCATAAATTAAACAAACACTTGAACTCAAATGAAACTATGAACATTACTTAAGGGCAGAGATATTCATACCTACACATTCATACTCCTTCAATTAACAAAAGCATTTGATTGCAGATTTCAACTTTCCAATTGACTTGAATATTTCAACAGCTTCCTTGAGTTTGGAAATAGATGCATTGGGGTTTGAATTGCACATTCTGTCAGCAATTTCCCTATGATCGGTAGCTTTAATCTGCTAATATCATAATCTCTGAAGCAGATAGAGATGCTTAATGAATAAAAGTAGCAGTTTTGATTGATTCTAGCATCTAAATAAAGCAGTGAACTGTTTTTGTTTGTCAATTGTCATCCTCTCAATGATCATGTTAGTATGTATGGCTGGCTATACATGAATTAAGACCAAGTACTTACTGAGTTCTCTCCTTGGATTCCGAATCTCCAGCTTTGTGCTACTCATATCTGCCAACGAATTGACAAATACGAATTGAGATCTAAACCCAAAAACCTATGAACAAAGCAATAAATCCAAGCCATATTGAAGATATAGTGATTAAATTACACACCGAAGGAGTCGAGCAAGGAGGGGCAGGGCGGAGAGCGGAGAGCAGCGCAACGCATTATAGGCGCAGATCGTCCCTAAAGACAATCGATATAGTAGAATTGGAAATCAGCATCCATCATGCAATCACGGGTACGAATACTACCACCAAGAATGAGTAGGCACTTGCTGCTGCTGGGCATGGAATCTTTCTCAAACAATTGGGGATGAACGATGTCAGCCTTTGTCCTTCAGAGCTCGGTAACTTTACTTATAGGATTGATCCCAAATCTACCGGATAAGGAGAGTTTCAGAAGAATACGCTTCAAGAGCTGCGGAGCCAGGGACTGGAGAGCGCAAACGGAGCGAGGCAGGAGGGGAACATCCGCTCTTCAGTTAAATGAGCGATGAGATCGTCGGCAATCGACGATAAAGTTACTCTGGGTTGGAGTTTTGATGTAAGATTTATATTGTTTTTGAAATAAAAAACTAAAATTGAAAAGATGAAAGTTAAATATGAAAAGTAAATTATCAAGGGACATAAATGAAATGCACTTGAGAAAAGTGGATTTAACGGGATATTTCCACAATTATCTTTTTGTCATAAAACATAATGGATCATATGGTTTGCACGCCCGGCCCTCACAAATGGAAGGTCCTGTTTAAAATAACAATAAGAGGCCCTACTATTAATACAAAAATACTAATAATAAAATATAAAGTAATATACTCCGAGTCCGTATCATATTTTATAATAATACTTAATACGAAAATGCAATTTTCTTATGCACCAAGAGCATTAAATCACATTCAATACTTTCTAATTCTAGGAGCCATTATAAATTTTTAAATTACACTACGTATTTTATAGGATATTAAGATGTAGAAGAATCCAAAATTAACAATTAAAATTGATGATAGAATCAATTAAAGGAACAAATAAGAACAAAACACAATGAAACTGCCTTAGAGCATCTTCAATGCTACAATGTGCACAGTGTACATGTGGCATGAGAGAGATAGACATAAAAGTTTGATTTTCTGACATTTCTCTCTCCGTCTTTCAACGGTTTTATGTGTTTTTGGTAAGTTTTTCTCTGTAATGTCAATCACAATGTCTACATCTAGACATTGTATTTGACATTGTGAAGAAAAACTTACCAAAATGATATAAGATCCTTCAAATAAGGATAGAAATATTCTATTTATTGTTTTTTCATTGGTTATCTCTCATGTCACGTATGCACCGTTAACGTTTTAGCATTTAAGATGTTCTTATGGAATCTGGAATCTGGCCGCCTACGGTTGAAACAAAATGAATAACGAAGTAGCTATCCCCTGCCGCCCTCCGCCCTCGGTTCTGCCTTCTGGAACTGGAATCTGGCCGGCTGACCACTCGTTGCCTTCGTAAGCTTGCATGTCAGAAAATGCTATCCGTCAATCGCCTAGGGCCCTCTCTTCCAGAACCTGGAATCTGGCCTCTTCTTGATTAGTTGGTGAAGATTGGAGAATTAAGAAATCTGAATAAATTTGAAAATTCTTGGAATTCAAGTACAGCTACCAGTGTGGATTATTATAGGAGATTTTAACATTAAAGTCGTAACAGTAAAATTCACACCTCCGCTTGAATCCATCTCTCTCCTCCAAAATTGATTCGTCGCTTTGATTCTCTAGCCGTTTGTTAGGGGTGGGCATAATGTTCGGTTTGACTGAACCGAAACAAACCGAATTAAATCAAACCAAACTAAATCGAACCGAAATCATAAAACCGAATAAAACCGAATAAAAACGAAATAATCTAAAAATGAAATAATTTCATATTTTTTTAAAATAACAAATCAAAACCAACTTACATCAAACTAAACCAAACCAAAATATAAGATTATTCTCATTAATTTGATTGATGTTAATCTTTTTGAAGCTTTAATTCTTTAATTTCAGTGTCCATGATTAGAGTTTACTACAAGAGTTACATTCACAACTATAACAATTATAGTGATTTAAGTAGATAGTATCTAACTATAATTTATTATCTAATACTACTCTATATTTGGTTCATTACTTACAAGCACCAGTTTTGTTTTTGTTTCAGCTTTATATATAATTTGATTCATTCCCATTGTTGTTGTTGCTCACAAATGTGTTATGCTTATATATTTTTTGTTCATATGTGTTTTGTTACTGTTGCAAATTTATACCTAACATTATATTTGGTTCATTACTATCGCTTCTTGGTTCATTGTTTTAAGTTATTTTTTTTATTTCAATCCAAACCTCAATACTTTGGTAAACCGAACTCCTAACCGAACCGAACCATACCAAACCGAAATCAAACAGAAACTTAATGGGTTTGTATTTGGTACATTTTCTATCAAATCCGATTAAACCCAAACCGAATCGAAACCGAACCAAGACTGAAGAAAACCGAACCGAAAACCAAAATGCCCACCCCTACTGTTTGTCTCCAAAAATCGTTGAAGAGTTAATTATCCCAGTTCCAAATAAAGCTCGTCGGATGAGGAATTATGAGGCGTAGCCTTTTCTCCTTTCTGCGGTTGATAAAAAATGGCGGCCCTCCCAAAATTGGGGGCCCTGTGCAGGTGCACCAATTGCACATAGGCTGTGCGGGGCTTGATGGTTAGGAAATATTTATTAGGGAGAACTATCAAATAAGCCCTCAAACTTTCATAAAAAGTGCAAATAAGCCCTTTTATAGGAGGCTCTGTCCGGCCGTCGTCATTTAGGGCGGTTTCCGGTGGCATTTTTTGATGAATTTTTTTGAGTATCTTCTTCATTAAGTCTAGTTTATTCATATCAAATTTCAGCTAACAATTCAATCGGGAAGACAGTCAAATGAATTTTTGAAGATAACTGCGCAATTAGACAGCGCAATATGTTTTGGGAAATCATTTGACTGCCTTTGCGATTGAATTTTTATCTGAACCTTGGTATGGATAAACTAGACTTAATGATGAAGACTCTCAAAAAATTTCATCAAAAAATTCCACCGAAAACCGCCCCAAATGGCGACAATCGGACAAAGCCTCGTGTAAAATGGATTATTTGTATTTTTTTATGAAAGTTCGAGGGCTTATTTGATAGTTCTCCATATTTATTAAATCGGATAAAATCATAACACATTACTTCAACTAGCAATGTCAGTGGTAGTTTTACAAAAACAACAATGACGGGGTATTATTCTCTATCCCATTTTACTTTTATTGGATTATTGTAAAATAAATGTTGTATTTCTTTTCGGTAAGAAAAAATTTGATATACAACATTTTATTTTATTTTATCAAATCTCAATTTTGCTTTCAAAAACAACTTTTACCTGATACAAATTGCCTAGTTACTTGTATACGCAGGAGTTTCTTAACGATATGTCCTTATACGCGAACAATTATGGAAATTATACGTACAAAAATGACTTTTGCCTTATTTTTTTGAAACATTAATAAGGGATGTTTGGAACTGATTATGCTTCTGTTTCTTTTTTAAAACAGAAGCAGAATCAGTTTTCAGAAGCTTGTCACCCTCATATTCTAAAAAACTGATTCTAGAAGTGAATTAGAGCATCAGAATCACTTCTAAACTTTCACCTAAACACTCCGTGAAGGAGCAGAACTACTTTTAAGAATCAAAACATTCCCTAAATACGAATTATTGACCGCACGATTTATTCACAGCAAACACTTGATCCTTAAAAAAACAGGTTACAATTAGAGTTGGAAATCTGGAATCCCATTCCATCCCAAAATTCAAACCTGTCTGCGGATTCTACCACACTGTACAGTGATTCTCGTTCTTTTGCCGTCCTCTCATGACTCTTGCTCAAAGCGTTCGATAATTCATTGCAATTCCAGTGCCATGCTCAATCTAGCTGAATATCCAACCCAGTCAAGGTGCCGCGGATTCTTCCGCCAGACCATTCCATCAAAAACCCCTCTTACCCGATTCCAATCGCCCTCAACTGCAGTGACCCGACCCACATTCTGCTCTCTTCAGTGGAAATCACGAACTGGATTACCCTCAAACGCCTTAAACAATCAACAAGGTGCTGGAAGTCATCTTCTTGAAACGAAGAATATCGATGACGCACATGGCTTCGAAGACGACGATGGTGACGATGATGATGACGAGGATGAGGACGACGACGAGGATGGCGTGTTTGTTCCTGTGAGGAATATGAATGACTGGGTTGAAACTAAACCTCGAGGGTTCGGAGAAGGGAAAACGTACGATACTTCGGTTGAAGAGAAGCTGATGAAAGAGATTGAGCAAAGTAGGAGAGCGCAGCTTGTTAATGTCAACAAGCTGAAGAACAATCCTGTAAATCCAGGTTCCAAGAAAAACCAGATCCACCAAGAAGAAGGTTAGTGTTTTTTTTTTTACTTTTTTCTCTTGGATAATTTCTATTGTGTCTTGTACTTTTGTTAGTTTGTCTATTAAGTGTTTATAGAAAGCTGCGGCTTTAAGATGTTGCCACCCGCAAAGTGTCAATGTATCACATTTGCTATGATGAGCGTATACAAATATGTTAACGGGGGACTGTTAATGAATTTACAGAGCTTTGGACTTGTGGGTTTAATGGTATCCGTGGAGTGAAATTAGTTGAAATTGTTTAATGAGCTGGACCTGGTTATATTGTGCTGAAATAGCGTAGTGAGCTGATCCATCTTTATAAAATGTAGTTTTTGCTTAATAAAATGAAGAAACGATACAAAAGTCATGAAAGTAGAAGTGTCATTTATCTTCATTTCATCAAAACAGTAACTTCTGTGGCCTGCACTTTATTATCCTTGTATTTAGCTAATGGTGTCAAATATATTTAGTGTATGGTAGAAATATCTTGTACATAACAAAAACAGGCTCACCAAACAGAGCCTAACCTCCTCTTTGTATGTCAGGTTAAGCCCAAAAAGCTCAATCTATCTGCATATCACTAAAAATCGATATGCTAATGACCTTGCATGAAAATTGAAAATATCTAGCTGTTGTCAACTAAAGATTTATATGTGCAGTTGTAGTGAGTAGTGACACAGGCAGGAAAAGGATTAAGAGATGAAGACTTGATACCAATCATATACTTAATTAATGATGATGGAACCCTTAGTTAGTTCATTAGGGTTCTAGAGAACGGAGAACTTATTCCAATCATATCATTAATGAATGGAAGTCTTATTTAACTCATCAAGGACACGAGGTCATTTCATCATCATGTTTCTTGAACCCTTCCCTAATTCACATCCTCCCTATATCATTACTCATTTACTCATAGTCATATGCAGTACAGAATCATTGATAAAATGTAATTTTAAGTCTCAGGGTAGTTTTAAACAGCAGAGTTGGTACACAATACAAAATGCAGAATCTTGTAAGAATGAACATCATGAAGTTATCATGTTTAGTAATACTTTGTAACATTTTTTGCACAATTGCTTTTATGAGTTTATCATTACTGGTGAAACTAATTTGGCAGTAGCATACTGGAGTTCCTTTTTGCAGCATCAACCCACACTCGTGTACGCTTGATCAACCTTCCTAAGAAAAGGAACATCCACAGAGATCTAAATTTGGCTTTCAAAGGATTACCTGGAATTATTGACATAGTCCCACTCGTTTCTGGAAACCGTAAGACTAGGGACCCTATTTGCAAAGGCACTGCTCTCATTTATTTTAAGTCTGAAGATGGAGCACAGAGGTAAACACTTCATATTTTGTATTTGGCTATGTGACAGCAACTACACTCCAAACTGCCCTCTGGAATATTTTGTTGTTTAGCACCCAAAAACAAAGCTGCGTTAAAACAAGAAAGTAGAAACCTCAACAACTTGAAAAATCATACTAAAAGTTCGTAAAGCACCACAAACAACTAAACTCAATTAGAGACGATGAAGCATCCCCTCTTTTTCCTCCTCATTAGCTCTCTTGAAGAAGGTTCGTCTTTTTTCATTTCTCCTCACTCTTCTCTCATTCATGATCTTCCTCATCATCCTCTATAGCGAAGATTTCTCCTCTATTTTTAGAGGCATCAATTTCTCCTCCTCCCAATCCAACCATATTTGATCTTTTTTATTCAAGAATTTGATGCCAAGCCTGATAGATAGGTTACATATTTTTATTTACTATATAACTGTATAAATGATTGTTTCAAATGATAGAATCTCCTTCCAATGAACCCCACACTCTTGCAAGACATATATATAGTTTGTGGATGAGTTAAGTCACCAACTAATACTCAAGTAGAAATTAAAGTTCGAAATTCGTCAAGTAAAGAATGGTTACGTGATGATTTTGACAGTCTTTGTGTTTCAATAGGCTTTGCATGGGATTGCGGCTACCTTAATAGGCTTTGCAAGATGTAAACATCCATTTTGTACTCCCAAAATGAGCTGGCACATCATTGAACGGTTGCACTAACTGTCCACTACTCTAGAAAAGGTCTCTACTGAGCGACCTTGACCATCGTCATGTGGCTGTTCGGTCAGGCCGACATGGATTAGGGTCCTATGGGTTGGCCAATCCTGTAGCAAATCTAGGTCGGCTCCCCTTGTGAGGTTAGTAAATCATGACATCATTTAGCAAGCCCGAGTCGGCTTCCTTCATGTGGCCAGCCATTCCTGCAACAAGCCTGGGTCGGCTTCCTTTGTGGGGTCAGCTGGTTCCATAGCTTGACCCGGTCGACTTCCTTTGGTGGGTCATTTGTTCTTTTGTAGCTCTACCTGGTCTACGAATCTGAACGACATACATGAACGATGACTGTTCTCTTAGTATTCATTTCCGGTTTCACAACCCCATTAGGCATCTCCTGCTCCCTTAATCGTATTAGACTTGACGAAAGAAAGTATTGAACTCATTCCTTGTCCGGAATCCATGGTTCAGGGAAAATCCGCTATCGCACCGGATCTCTTCTAATGCGATGGGTAGCGACCAATACAAGATCCAATACAAGAAAGTATTATTTCAAGTTTCCAACAACTCCATAATTCGACAATCCAGTGTTGGAGTAGAAATTCTCTGGCTGTGGTTTCCCGACAAGGAACGACGACTTGATTTCTTCCTTTCTTCAAGTCTTCAACTTTACTAACAGAGTTAGAGAATCATGATAATGTTGTGGATTGGGGATGGATACCGAAAGACCATTCACATATGTGGTCCAAGTTGGCAGGGTAAAGCTCTAGACATGGTATAGGGTCGATCAACCATGAAGGAGCCTGATCCAGGTCGTGCTATGTAGCCTGCCAACCCCACAAAGGAGAATGACTTTGGGTTTGTTATATGATTGACCAACTGCACAAGGGGAGCTGACCCGGGATTGGGCGAAGTCCTAAATTTGCCTGGTTGGTCAAGGTCACTCAGTAGTGAATGATGTTAGAGTACCAGACACTTGGTGTAATCGTCCCATGACGTGCCTGCTTATTTCAGGTGCACAAAGTGGACGGTTACGTCTTCTAAGCTTATAAATGAAGCCAAAATCCCATGTAAAGGCCCCACTATTTTCCATGTACTGATGTACAAAAACGTTGCCAAAATTATTACACAATAAATCTAATCTTTACTCTGTGAGTTTCACACTTCAATTTTTATTTGAGTTTTTTAATAACTTCGAAGAACCTACAAGCGTTCTATTTTAGATCAACATATACCCAAAAAATTACGTTAGTATTTTAAATATGAAAATGAGGGTGGTCCAACTCACTGGTAGCCAACTAACTCTCCCATATGGGACGTCCCGAGTTTGAAACTCCATAGAAGCAGTTGCAACCAACTTATCCCAGACCCCAGGGTAAAAGAAAATTAAATTTGAAAACATAAATTCTTCTTCTTTAACTGTTGATCTTTGTTAAGTTATTCATAGTCAATTCTCCGTATAAAGGTACAAACTCAATATAAAGCTTTGAAGTGCTTTTTTATCATCTTGGCCTCTAAAGATGGAACTTAAGTCATAATATGGTCTAAAGTATAAACGCCATAAAGCTCTAACTTCATCATTTTTTTTTTAATTTCTTTATTTCCTATGAATTATTTTCCAAATGGTGATGAGATGTTTTCTGGCCAAAATGGTAGATTTGTAGAAGCTTTCTCAGGGAAGAGCATAGATTTTGGTAAAGTTCAGAAGCATATAAAATGTGAGACTGTATCTGGCCCCTCCAGCCCCAAAAACGTACAATTAACCGATGAAAGTAGTCATGATGATTCCAATATCTCAGAAGCCGATTCTGATGGAGAAGCTTCTGTAACTTTTAACTTGTGCGACAAACAGATTAGTTCAAGTGAAGAAGGGGTTGGAAGCAATTTATCCTTGTCTGCTATCCATCAAAAGAAAATAGAAGTAAATGAGAAGAAGAAGAAGAAAAGAGCTAAACTAAAGAAAGAGAAGTCATCAAATTCAAACATTCCTGGATCTGCTAGGAGGTAATGAATATCATCCTATATCTCACGGTTTCACGTTCAGCTGTTCAAGAACTTATTGGCTAATTTAAAGCATATTTTTTCAGGCTAAAGATCAGAGAGAAAGCTCAGCTTACTGGAGTTCTCTCCAAATATGGATCGAACATTCCTGCATGCCAGACATAACAAGCTCACTGATGACTGATGGGACAGCATGAGGACATTATCTAACTAACCTCTATAAGTACTAAACCACCCCTAACCCCTCACCAATTATGCACTTGGTTTCATTAGTGTGCCTTTGTTGTATCATAATCAATATCTAAGTGCTTGTTTGGTTTGAGGTTTCAGAGGGAAAGGGATGATAAATTTTTATTTTACTGATTTATTTTACTGATTCATTTGTCTTTTAGTTTTAAACTTGAAATAACTGTGTGATTAATTAGATCATGTGTTTCTATAGTAGTTTTTATCTTCACTTTTTTTTAAACGATTCGATGTAGAAGCTATTTAAAAAATACTCCTACAGTCCTACTCCTTTCTTCAATAGAATTCCCGAACCAAACAAACCTTAACTCACAACTACTTTCTCTTCAAAAATAGGCTAAAGAACTGAAGCAAATCCATAACCTGAGAACCAAAGCCGGTATACCTAGGTTGAGTTAGGAAGAGGTGTATTTTTAACCCAGCCCGAGTGTGTAGCCCTGTGGTCTGGGTTGATGTTTATATTAACTTCAAAATTGTCCCATCGAGAATGTACGTAAGTTGTTTGATTCCATTTTTAGAGTGATAGTTTCAAAATTGAAAGGAAGAACATTAATAGTTGATCCATTTAAAAATTTCTTAATACCCCAAGGTAGAAGACTAGAAGGTGTAATAGAATGGTTTGACTGGAGTGTTCCAAAATTCTTTTGAAGGTGGACACTGTATTTTGATTTTTGATTATCACTCGGAGTAGATAATTAAAATACAACTGTATAAGTCTATAAAATTCTTCAAAAAAAGTCTGTAGTGTAAAAGTAATCATAAAAACGTGAAGGCAATGTACCTACTTAAATCTACCGCTGAACCTGATAATATGAAGAACATTTATGAGTTTTTTTCACAAGTGATATCATTTTTTTCACTTTTGAAAGCTCCCCCAAAAAATAGAAAAGACCTGGTTTTCTTTTCAGTAGTGGACCTAGAATCCTTTTTTTGTGGGGTCAACTAATAGTGGACCTTAAATCCTAAACATATTATTTACTCTAAAATCAGTACCCAAGTAATCCAACATTTAGACTCTAAAGTCTACACGTCAGTGTTCATCATCTTCCGCAATTGCTATTTTTCTGGGAATCGAGTGTCCTGAGGAGGGATGAATCCGGGCCGGGTCAACCGGCCCGAAAACTGGCCGAACCGGCACTGTTTGGAACCGGTCCGCTAACCGGGTCTGGGCTCGGTCCACTAGACCCAAACCGTATTTTGTTTGGGCGGGCTCTGGATCTCCAAAAAATGAACCGGCCCTGCCGGGCCTCTAACAGCTCTTTTTATTTATTTTTTAACTAATTCATCCTCTCCTAGCCTTTGGGAAAAGCCCCAAACGACTCTATAGCCGTTGGAGGCTTGAAGGGGGTGGGGTATAAAAAAAATCTATAAATACTCCTATTTTCTATACATTTTCTACACCTCTTCTCCAACTCTTCCTACTCTCTATTCTCTAATACTCTTAATCATCTCCATCTTAATCTTCTCCAATTCTCTCTACATATATTTATACAATTATTACATCTACTTATGTATTAATTATCTACTCATAAATACATAAATTATATTACTAAAATTTATTATCTACTTAATATATACTTCATATCTACTTATTATTTACTTATTATATTATTGTTATTTACTTATATTTACATATTACATCTACTTAATATATACTTATATATATATTAAAGTATTAAATATAAGTGTACTAACCATCTTATAGTAATATACTTATATATTCACTACAAAAAAAATCGCCTGTAGTCACGGACTTAGTCACAGACCGTAGTGTAAAAAATCCGTGACTAACACATTTAGTCACGGATTTTGTCCGTGACTAGTTCCGTGACTAATTCCGCGTGACTAAAACGTAGTCACGGAACATTGGCCGTGACTAAGTGTAGTCACGGATTAGTCACGGAACTCGATCCGTGACTACATCTTGACCGGAATTAGCCCTCCGGCGCGTTAGTCACGGACCGGATCCGTGACTACTTTTAATTTAATTTTTTTTTATGTTAGTCACGGACAAGAGCCGTGACTAAATTTAATTTATTTTTTTTTATTTTTTGTGGTAGTCACGGACGTGTCCGTGACTAACGTTTTTAAAAAATCCCGCAATTAGTCACGGACATGTATCCGTGACTATGTTTAATTTAAAAAAAATTGAATTTATTCCAGATTAAAACGTAGTCACGGATCTGGTCCGTGACTAATGTTTGTTGTTTTTTTTTTAAAAAAAAACGATTTTAAATAAAAAAAATGAAAAAATGAAAATGGAATTTATTCCGGATTAAAATGTAGTCACGGATTTAGTCCGTGACTAATGTTTTTTATTTTTAAAAAAAATCGATTTTAAATAAAAAAATAAAAAATTATTTTAATTTTACTTTATAGCAATTAGAATAAAAATAAATTCCATACAATCTTAAACATAAAAAATGTTATTACAGACTGAATTATAAAAACAAAATCCATACAATGTTAAACAATATTATGTAATTACATGCCCGTACGTCGGACTCAATTATGATAAAAATTAGAATCATCATAATCATATGCGTCATCATTATCATCATAGTCACGATGATGATCCTCTTCTGCATCCACGGTGTCCAAGGGTCGGGTATCTCCTCGGCTATATATATATATATATATATATATATATATATATATATATATATATATATATATATATATATATATACACACACACACACACACACACACCTTATTTTTTATATATAAAACCTAAGAATCTCTCCGTCTCTGAATTATTTCCCAAATTTCCTTTTTCATCTGTCTCAAAATTAGTGCGGGTGGAAGTAAAGAACCAAGCAATTCTTACATGGTCAGCGTTCTGCATTAATTATTATTTTCTTTTTTGGTAAAGAATTTGTGGTTCATAGCTATTGTTGGGATATTGACCTAGAGGCCTAATACCCAGATCGGGAAGGCTCAAGGTATCCGGCCCAAGTAACAGGCCCATCACTTTATGATGAGAAGATCCAGTAAGGAGACATACCGAACGGGGTTCGGCCCGAATAAAGGTTGGCCCAATAAGAAGACATACCGAACGAGGTTCGGACTATATACTATACTTGGGCCAATTTGACAGCATCCTCAGTACGGACCAAGATCCCGTTCGAGCAACGGCCAACCAGCAAGTGGCCAGGTGCAGTTAATGCCAGACTATGACATCAGCAAGTGGAAGCATGGATGACCAAGTCGGTGGAACAACGGCCAATCAGCAAGAGGCAGCCCATGCTCTCCATTAGTATAAATAGAAGGTTTTCAAGTCATTGTAAGAGTTAGCATTTCAATACTCAAGCTCTAGAATAGCATCATTTGCTCTTATTTCTTGTATTAAGGCATAGTTTCCGACTTATCGATCGGGAAATCCCTTGTAATCAGATTGGTTAATTAATACAAGTGAGCTTTCGAGTTTTAGTTAGTTCAGATCTTATATTTTCTCGTACACCTTGATTCTGGGCCATTCCTGATATATCCAAAGTTCGTGTTGGGCTTTCGGATCTACGGGACTTACCCTCAACATTGGCGCCGTCTGTGGGAAACTTGCAAAAAGTTTCACTTTCAAAACATCCAAAAAACCTCTATTTCTAAAAATGGTCAGAATCAATTCCTATCATACAAACGACGGTTCACACCGTCACGGGAGGAGTCACACCCCGGGGAGTCAAAACCCCCAGGGACAATCCAGTCGAGGATCCTATCCTCGCGTTAATGGGGATTTTGTGATCCCCGAATCTCTGAGGAGAAATCCCCAGGCCATGCGTGACATGGCCCAATTCATGCAGCACATGGCAAACGAAGAAGAAGGAGGTTCCAGCTTTACAGGAGAAACTCCACGCGCGGAAACGACCACAGCGTCATCCCGCTCACATACCCATCGGGATAATCGACGTAGCGCCCCACCAGCAGCGCATCCCAGTCCCAGTGACCGAACCCCGGTCGGGTCGCAAGCTAGAGGACCAACTCCCGTCGGTCATCATTTCCAATATGCCGAGCGAGAAAATACTAGGGCCCCTCAGCGGCATTGGGACCAGGACTGTGCGGATATGAGGGTTCCACCACCGCCCCCTCTGACGGCCCAGGAGGAAGAGATGGCCGAGATGAGGAGGCAAATGAATGAAATGCGGGACCAGATGAACAGGGTACCTGCACAACCTGCACCAGTCCAACTGGGGATTACTTCCCCGTTTACAAGGGAGCTCATGTACGCGGATATCCAAGGGGGTGCCAAGCCCCCGACCGGCCAAATATATGATGGGGTGGGAGATCCCCACGTACATCTGAGGAGTTACCAAGGCGGACTTATGCTGCTAGGAGCACCCGAGGCTGCCATTTGCCGTTTGTTTTTCAGCACGCTCAGGGGGCCTGCCCAGGAATGGTTCGGGACACTACAGCCCGGGTCAATCAATAGCTTTACCGAGTTATCAACGTTATTCTTGGCTCAATTTGCTTCCAGTGCCAATTCCAAACGACACTTCAGCTATCTGACCAGCGTGAAGCAAAACGCCAAGGAGACCCTCAACCAATTCCTGAAAAGGTGGAGGGATGAAACTTTAACAGTGGGAAGCATGACGGATGATACCGCCATCACCCTGTTCACGAATGCTCTCCGAACGGGGGAGTTGTACAAAGAATTGAAGAAGAATCCGGGCACGGCGTACGCCGAAGTATTAGATAGGGCACGCAAGCATGCCGCCCTAGAAGAAGAAATAATGATCAGGGATAAGGTCATTACGCCTGCTGCCCCGATCAGACTGGCCGATCAGCTGGGTCCTAGCCCAGCGGCCACTTTACCTCCCAAACAAGGGAGATTTACACCCCTGGTCCTATCAATAGCGGCCATCTATCAGAACGAGAGGAACAATATTCCCATCCCGACTGATTCTGGACAGTTCATGAGAACAGATGACAATGCTTTCTGTAAATATCACAACAAAAAGGGTCATGCCACCAATGCCTGCAGGGCCCTGCAAACAGCAATTGAGGATCTGATCCGAAGGGGCCATCTGGGAAAATATGTGAACAAAGATCCGAATGCAATGGGCACGTTAAAACCGGCCAGGAAACCTAACAGCTGGCGTCGGGATGCTCAACGTGACGCCCAGCCTCAGAATGATGTGTATGTTCCTCCCAGAGATGAGCCAGAGGGCTCGGGAGGCCCCGGAAAGAAGCCTCGAATGGAGGTCAAGGT